GCATCTCACTGCAGGATCGAGATGGAAAGGACAGAGGTAGGTGAAAGCTTGATGAAACCTGGTTTTAAAGAGTAAGCCGTTCGAATTGGAAAAAAATAGCTATTTGACTATTGGCATAATTGATATGATCAGCAATAGACCTTTGTCAGGGTTAACACCATTATCTATTTTTGAAAGGAGTGCAATGAGGCTCTGAGGGACTGAAGTACAGTGCGTTGAATAGATTGTATTGTTGTTTAACAAGATACTTTGTTGTTGTTTACAAGATGAGTCTTTCAGAAGACAAAAACTACAAAAAAAACAGTTTTTAAAGTTTTGAGGTGTGATATGTGATCTGGGACCTTTATAACCTTGCATGCCACTGTAAAAACTGTAAATATATCCCTCACAGCCTTGTTTTCATCTGTGTTCAATTCAATGTGGTGTCTAACCTGACCAAGATTTATATATTGTCTTTCACTAGATTTGTATTATTTTTATGGCAAATAATAATTATTATTATTTTTATTTTTTTTATGGCTTTTGTTCTGTGTGATTTTCTTATTTGTATTGTTATTATTCTGCATTTTCAGGTCAGAAAAGGTTATTGGATTGCACTACTGGCTTGTCGGCCAAGAAGCAAAAACGTAGCCAGAAACGTTCAAGCACTGTATGTAAAACAGAGAAGAATGGAGCAGGTGAGTGTTTTGATGCAAGTTCAAAGCCTTGAAAGCATTTATGGATTGATGTCCAAGTCAGGGTTTACTTTTTCTATTAGTTGTTTGCTATAAACTGATATTGAAATTTTTGTTTTATTTAATTAATTTCTTTTTATTTTATTCCTTAGATTCCTATCCTGGAAGGTTAGGTCAGGTTTATTAAAAAAAAAAATGTTCCCAGTAAAAATTGAATGTATGTGATTAATCAAAGGTTGGTGGAAAGAGAATAGAGTCAAAGATGATGATACCAGAGAATGGTTTCGCTAACTTGACTGATGTCATGTGATGTTACACTTCTCTTGGCTGTCTGATTAACCTCTGCTTCATTTCTCACGTTCAAAGTTAAACATTCTAGCTTTAATTTCTATTTGTGACCAATGATGGCTTTAATTGTGTATGACGGGTATTTTTTGTCTTGGACTCAAACCTGATAAAATCTCTCTCTGTATGTCTCCAGGTCACAGTAGCGACAGTGAGGACCTGTCTGCCATGGACAGCTCTAATAAGCTAACCCCAGTCAAGCACTCCAGCCTACCCAAGAGCCAGAAGCTTTCTCGGTCACCCGGTCTGGTTTCTCCCAACATTAAAGACATGGAGAAAGACAAGCACAAAGAGAAGCAATCCATCCCTTCCCCCCGCACATATAAGTGGTCCTGCCAGTTGAGTAAGTTTACGAACTTTACCAAAGTTACATTAGACACCAAAGTTACTTTTACATCCTGTCCTCACTGGTTCCTGCTTCTGTTTTTCACAGCTGAGCTGGACAACATGTCAAGTGCTGAGCGCATTTCATTCTTGCAAGAGAAGCTACAGGAAATCAGGAAGTACTACTTGTCACTCAAGTCTGAAGTGGCTTCCATCGACAGGAGGCGGAAAAGGTTAAAAAAGAAGGAAAGAGAAGGTAAATTTGCTTATAATACATAATTTTTATTTGTTCATTTACAAATATTGCTGCTATTATTATTAATAAAAAAATAATTTCTATTTATCGATTATTATTTATAACATTATTATTATTAATGACATTAAAAATGTTCTTGTTTATTCCGTTCAGGTCTAAAGAATTTGGAAATTGTACTTAATGTTAAAAAATGTAAATGGTTTTTGAATTTCTCAAATTATTGACCTTTGACTTGGTAGTAGTAGTGGTATTTATTTTTCATTTTGTATTTATTCATTTATAATGACATTGTTGATATTATTATTATTATTAGTTTAATAATAATAGCTATGATTGTTAGTGTTGTATGTTTTTCTGTTCATCAGGTTTAAAAAAAATAAAAAATTGTACTATTTAAACTTCGGATTTCTCAATTTCCGGTCTTTTGTGATTTATTGACCTTTGATTTGTGATCAACAGTGTCCCACACCACAGCGTCCACATCATCAGGCTCGTCCGACACGGGCATGAGCCCGTCTTCTGCTTCCCCCACGCAGAACACTGTGGCCGTCGAGTGCAGGTGATGTCACGCCCGTGCCCTGCCCCGCCCCTGCCCCTGCCCCGCTCCACCTCTGCCTTCTCAGCATCCTGCTACCTCCACGGAGACACACTGGCATACTGATGAGCCAGAGCAAGCAGCCAATAGCACTCGACTGCTCACCGCCTCCACGTCTCTGATCCCTATTGGCCACTCCCACATTCTGCACTTTGTAAACTGATCCTGCCTCCTCTCGCTCGCTGTCACACCAGGGAACGTACTCCACGTGAGGGTTGAATGCAATCTATGAAATCAAAGCTTACAATTTATCCATCCAGAACGTATATACGACGGCACTTTTCACTTCGCTCTCTACAAATGCTGAACAGAAACCTCCTCTTCCTGCTTCTGCACAGCAGGGACTGAATTTGGATGCAGTTGTCAGAACATGGTAAGAACATTGTCTCAGATCCCTAGGTAATGGTCACCTTAACCAGCTGGACATGGTTATTCAAAGAAAGGTCAGTTGGAATGCGCTTGTTCCATCAGAACTGCCAAAGTACATGTGCTACAGCAGAGTGCCCTATTTTGGAAAAGTAGGACAAAGTCAATTGCAAAAGGAAATGTAGTTTACTGAAAACTGCAGCTGGCGTCTTCCACTTCTGTCTTAGTATGCGAGCACAGAGAATTATGCAAAACCTATTTTTGTTGTCTCTTTTTAAGAAAATGAAAACTAAAAAAAAAAAACCTACAGAAAATGTTTACAGTGGAACACGAGGTAAAACTGTTTTCAGTGGACTAATTTCCTTTGCAAGTGTATTTTGTCTTTTTATATGTAATTGCAGAGTTTTTATTTTAGTATGGAAAATTTCAAAAAGTATATATCACAGCCGTGAAGTTATTTAATTAAAGATTTCTAGAGCTGAAATTTTTGTGTAAAATAAAGGTATTATCTTGCAACTTGTTAAATATATTTATTCAGTCCGTGGACAGCATTTTTGTATTTTTTACAAGATGAGAATCACAATCATCCCACATTCGGTTCGGTCGGTGGGGTAGAAAGAGTATGAGAATTTTGTCGGGTCATCTTGAAGCTTTGAATGTGACATCACAATTTGGGTAACTACTGTGCAGTAAACCGCATCTTCCCCCGTTTTCTTTATCCATTTGGGCCCGAAGCTCCCCTGATGGAACACCAGAAATTGGTGACCTGCTTTTTCCTCCCCATTCTTGTTGATTTCAGATTTTCTGGTACTTTATTATTTAATCCTTTATTCTCATTTTCATTTCGAGTTCTTGACCAATTGAATAAATGAGTTGCTTCTCACACAAGTATGTTAAGCCCAGGGGTTTCTTACTGTTCCTTTTGTAAATAGATCTTTCAAAAAAACATGTATTTGAAAAATACATTTTACACAGACTGTAAAAACGATTTATTATTTTTAAACAGTACATCTTTGTATATTCATTTTCCTTTTCTATGTCAAGTTGGTAGAAGCATTAGCACATCTTTAGACTGTATATACTCAACAATTTTGGAACCTAAACCCAAGCTGTCTAGAGTGATGACCCATATGACTATGTTGAACATTTTATGCTGTAGGCATTGATTAATTCACTGCGACAAAATTGTGAAAATTGCTTCCCTGTGACTTCAGTTTATTTACAGATTCCTGGAGGAAGAAATGAAGGCATTAGGTTCCTGAGCAAAGCCATTGTATCTTTATGTAAAATAAGAAGAGGTCTTCTCATTTCTAATAAAGTTTTGAAATATTCCGAAATATTCTTCCTATTTCTTTGTCTTTATTAACTGGTTGAAAACTCACAAAAACAACAAGGGGCACATTTGAACCTCATTTGTTTATTTGGCAGAAAAATGCATTCCTGTATTTTTAGGACAAAATATGGATATTATCAGAATTTTCCTTCAAATTGTAATGCCACTATTTTATTCTAAGAAGATTAAATCCACATGGCTTAAAGAGAGTATAAACAAATACTACCATGATGTGGAAATACTTAAAATATTTAATGTTCAGTTTTTACTCGAGTTTCATTGAAATTTCGCAATGCAAAATTGCTTTAAAAAGGATTTTTTTTTTCCTTTAGGCAAAAACTATTTATTTTGGACAGAATTATGACTTTATGGCCATGTTTTCTGAGATTCGTCTAGCTAGTAATACTAATAAAATCTTCATAGAACTCATCTTTGTTAAAGGAATAGTTCACCCAAAAATTGAAATTTGCTGGAAATTTACTCGCCCTCGGACCATCCAAGATGTAGATGAGTTTGTTTCTTTGTCAAAATAGATTTAGAGAAATTTAGCTTTCCATCACTTGCTCACCAATGGATCCTCTGCAGTGAATGGGTGCCGTCAGAATTAAGAGTCCAAAAGGCTGATAAAAGCATCACAAGTAATCCACACGACTGCAGTCCATCAGTTAACATTGTGAAGTGAAATGCTGCGTGTTTGTAAGAAACAAATCCATCATTACGATGTTTTAACTTCAAACCTTTGCTTCTAGCTAAAATACCAGTTTATAATCTATAATAACACTTTCTCCAGTGAAAAAATTCATCTGGTCTTAATCAGGAGAGAAATATGCACAGATCAAGCAAAAACTGTAATAAACATGTTGGTGGATTTCAGTGTGAATGGACAACAGGGGATGGACTTTTTCACTGGAGGAAGCATTATTATGGATAAAGGACTGATATTATGGCCAGAAGTGGCCGTTTAAAGTTAAAACGCCTTGATGGATTTATTACAAACATGCAGCTTTTCATTTCACAAGATTGGAGTTGTGTGGATTACTTGTGATGCTTTTGTCAGCTGTTTGGACTCTCATTCTGGCAGCACCCATTCACTGCAGAGGATCCATCGGTGAGCAGGTGGTGTAATGATGTATGCTACATTTCTTGGATGGTGTGAGGGTGAGAAATTTATGAGCAATTTTTGGGTGAAGTATTACCTTAAACCTTTTTTTTTTTTTCATTAGCTAAATTATACATGAACGAGACTGAATATTAGAGTTGACTAATATTTTATTTTGTAGCACGCTAACATAAAAACAATCAAGATCTTTCGTGTTTTACGGAAGACCAACATAATGGTCAAAACGAGAGTGTCTGTCCTTTGGGAAACCAAAATTCCCAACGATCCATTTATCCGAAGAGCCGGCAAACGTTACAGGACTTCTCACAGTATTCCCAGTGCCTGCGTCGTCTGCCCTGCTGCTCCAGTTTGGAGAGCCCTGCTCCATGCTGGAATAGAGAGAGCCTGACGTAATGCTCTAGAGTTCAGCCGCAGATGATTATCGTGGTTGTCCTAACAAGCCAGCTTTAGCAGCCAACGCTTCATTCTGCTGGATGTGATATTCCTGAAAGCGCATGGAGATCCTCTGCGTCATCTTCAGATACTTCTGTAAGCAGCTCTCAGAACATGTAGTCTGGAAAGGAAAGGTACATTGAAATCCAGTTAAAGGGATAGTTCAACCAAAAATGAAAATTTGATGTTTATCTGCTTACCCCCAGGGCATCCAAAATGTAGGTGACTTTGTTTCTTCAGTAGAACACAAACGAAGATTTTTAACTCAAACCGTTGCAGTCTGTCAGTCTTATAATGGAGGTGAATGGGAATCACGGCTTTGAGAGTAAAAAAAACATACACAAACAAAACCAAATTAAACCCTGTGGTTCGTGAATGACGATACATTGATGTGTAAAGACACGAAATGATCGGTCTGTGCAAGAAACTGAACAGTATTTAAATCGTTTTTTACCTCTGATTCACTGCAATGTCTTAACTGTCCTGAGCGCATCCTCGACAGCCTGCGCTTGACACGTCTTCTTCTTGCTTTACGGCGGACTTATAAGTGCATTACCACCACCTATCTCTCAAATGGACCATTGACACTCCTAATTGAGATTGTAGATAGAGTGTCAATGGTCCATTTGAGAGATAGGTGGCGGTAATGCACTTATAAGTCTGCGATCCGCCGTAAAACAAGAAGAAGAAGAAGACACGTCACGCACCGACTGAAGAAGACGCGAACGCGCTCAGAACAGTTCGGACATTGCAATAAATCAGAGGTAAAAAAACGATATAAATACTGTTCAGTTTCTTGCACAGACCGATCGTTTCGTGTCTTTACACATCAATGTATCGTCACGAGCCGCAGGGTTTAATTTGGTTTTGTTTGTGTATGTTTTTTTGACTCTCAAAGCCGTGATTCCCATTCACCTCCATTATATGACTGACAGACTGCAACGGTTTGAGTTAAAAATCTTCGTTTGTGTTCTACTGAAGAAACATAGTCACCTACATTTTGGATGCCCTGGGGGTAAGCAGATAAACATCACATTTTCATTTTTGGGTGAACTATACGTTTAAATTAATAGTTACATTTTTATTTCAAAGGACTTATAAGATAGCTTGTAGAAATATAAGCCTAATCACAATTTAACACCACACCTCCTCTGGCTTGACCTCTCTTGTAGTGAAATCTTTAACACAATCCATGAAGCAGTTTTCTGTCAGTTTATTGTAGGTTCCCAGGAATTCTTTGAACTGCAAAATACAAAGATGGGCAATTAAATAGTTATTTAATTATTTCAAAACTGAAAATAGACAATAAATGTGTACGGTTACGTCTAAGGTTCCTCTTACCTGTTTAATCTGGTCTGATTCGTTGACTTGAGCCGCCATAGTTACAATAAAGTGGGATGCTGTGGATGAAATGAAATGCCATTACTCACACCACGAGCATTTGAGCCAGAAATTCTCCCTGTTCTTATCGACAGTGCAGAAGTTGCTAAATAAACGTTCTTTTTGGCCAAAGAGTGTGATGTTGAGTGGCTACATTAGCCATTAGCATATCACATGTACATTTATAACACTAAATATGCGATAAATGCCTTCCAAAATAAATGCTTTAATAAACGCTTTATAATAAATAAGATGTAGACAATAAATATAACTAAAAGCAAAGCACGTAAAAACAAAAAAAACAAACAAAAAAAAAACAGTAAAGCTACTACCTTTGCTGTCAGAGCTCAGGATGTGAAGGACATGTGAGAAGAACAGAAGAGATATCCGCTGCTTCACATCGGCAGATTCGGCACTTTCGTAACAAATAAGAGCCCTTATAAAATAAAAAATAAAATCGTGTATGAAGGAATAGAATTCAGATCCTTAGAACTTAAAAAGGCTATTTAAATTTGTATTTTATTTAATATATTATTACATTTTTATATCATTTTATACATATAATTGTGTCTGTAATACACATCTTGTTGAAAATGTACAGACATAATACACAAAGACAAGCATCTCTTCTTTTGATTATTTAAAAGCGTCTTATCTTAAATATTAAATATTGTAAAACAGGCATTTTTACATTTTCAGTCGTTTTTGATATACTTGTCTCACAGTATAAAAATGCATCTTCTAAAATTTATTACTGCGCAAAAAAAAAAAAAAAAAAAAAGGGATAAAGACTAAAAAAAAAAAAAAAAGCAAAAACAAAGAAACATTTATTTCTCATGTTTACCAGATCAAATAAGGACCAAATGGGGGCAGCAGTGTCGAGACTTCCGAGACCAAAACAAAGGGAAGACAGACTTTTATTTTGAAATCTGCCTTGCGATCACGCTGTTGTTTCCAAGATCACGGTTGTGAAGTTTTGTTGTCAGCAACAACCGAAGCTGTGAAAATAACTGGATTTACGGCTGAAATAAAACATAATTTAAATATATCACATTAAAATATTACGAAACAAAGTCGGGATTTACTGTAATAACAGAAATGAGAGGCTGAGCCAACCTGTTGCTTTTAAAAATAACCTGCGGCGGGAAATTTAAAACCAATACTGACAACAACACCAGAGTGACTGGCGTGTCATCTGTGGATATCTCAGGAAATAAAGGCAATAATCGTTATCTTGATGTCATGTTTACGGTAAGACGGTTATGAACGCCTGAAAATGATCAAAGCTTTTGGCAACTAACTGCTGGGTCTGTAACTTTGTTATTATCAAAAAACCGGTGTCTCTTTATTGGACTGTCTAAATACTTGTATAAAAGTGGAAATGGACCCTTGTTGTGTGTCTATGATCAATAACACGCACTTAAACGACTCTACATCCAGTTCTGATGCAGCAGATGTGTTAATTAACTCAAGCAGAGCAGCTTTGGGTGCCAGCAGAGAGGAAATACAGCGTAAGAGCCATAATAAAGTTAATATTTACATCAGGAGACTGTCAGACTCTGAAGATGTTCATTCTGTGGGTGGGAGAGAAATCCCACCTGTCCTGTCTGTGAATATACCTTCAGCTTCAGATGCAGGTAACACTGTTAGATTAGGCCTGTCACGATAACAACTTTTTGTTGTGCGATATATTGCCCCAGAAATTTTTATGCCACTGAATATATAATCATAATATAACGGCATAATAATGCAAGAAAGCCTACATGCTTTCAAATGACAAACTTTCCATTCGTAAGAATATTTAGATCATTAAGTATTTGAAATTAAGTATCAAAATATTACATACCTTAAAAAACTTGAATAAATAGTAAATAAACAGATACAGGTAACACTATTAGATTGATTATAGTTAGATTGTGAGATCAATTAAATGATCAAAATAATAAATACTTTTTTTTAATCTAAATTCATTTGAACCCCATGAACAACAGTCTGGTGGACCATCAAATCAATTTGCTGACTTTTTTGACCAAGTGAGTTTTTTATTTTATTTAATTTATTATTATTATTATTTACAGTTGATTTATATTTGGTTTGTAATTAAACGACTTAAACTTGCTTAAGTTGATTAACATATTTATTTATTTATTTATTTTCTCATATAGGTCTCCAGGAAAGAGAAAAGTAAAGTTCAAACTACAATCATGCAGACAGCAAACTTAAAGTCAAAAGGTATTATATTATATTGGTATTAAAGTAATGATCAAACTACAATCACGCAGACAGTCAAAAAGTATGAATTTATATTATGTTTTGCTATTTAGAATTATAATGGTATCATATTATATTGTATTGTTTTGAATTATATTGGTATTATATATTTTTGAAAGCAGCTAATGTGAATCGATTTGTAATCTCTGAACACCGCAGGTGAAGATGTGCACATTTCTACATACTCTGCTGATGGGAGAGGAGCAGTTTCTGCAGCCCTCAAGAAAAGGTCATGCCTGCTTTCACTCAGTTGTTCCTATGATCAAACATGGTTATTTTGTACACATGGATATTTCACTTTGTTCCTCAGATCCCAAAGTGCCCCTTTAAGACGTAACGTGACAGTACAAGTGTTGGACCAAGACAGATCCCAAACTCCAGGAGGCCAGTCAGATCCTGTTTGTCCATTAGGAGATCCTGGGACTTCTGCAAATGTGGCAGCCATAACAGCTGCTACTATTGCTGCCACAGCGCCACTTATCAAGGTAGACATTTTTAGATTCATACAGCATTATAATATTGTAACATTCATAAAGCAATACAGTATTATAGCATTCACCTTAAACTGTCTTTGTTTGGTCCATCAGGCTCAGAGTGAGATGGAGGCTCAGATCGCACTGGTAACTGCTGAGCTGCGGAGGTTGCAGGCAGCAGAGTCCAATGTCCAGCCGGGAAGGGCGGCCAGTACTGAGAACAGTCCTGCTGGGAGAGTAGCCCATCTGGAGGAACAACTTAGCATTCTGATCCAGCAGAGACTGCAACACCTGGAGACGATCCAATGTCAGCAGATCCAGCTGCAGGTAAAAATGGCAAGACCTCTGTCTAGATCTGGAGTTGCAGAATCTAGCTATTTTAGTTTAGTTTAGTTTAGTTTATTATTTTGTTTTGTTTTTGTATTAGTTTTGTTTTAGTTTTGCTTTTGCTTTTATTTTTATTGTTTTATTTTTGTTTTTAATTTTGTATTCTTTTGTTTTGTTTCTGTTTTATTTTATTTGTTTTGTTTCATTTCATTTTTTTTTAAGTCGTCTTATGTTAGTCAAGGATTATTGCACCAAAAACATTCATAAGTTAGTTTTCCACCCTTGAATTAAATGTATTTGCTACTGTAAATATGATGTGGTGATATAGTTCATACTGTTGTTCATCAGGGTGGCTTAGTACCAAATACTGAGCAGATCATGTCTACATAGCACATTGAACTTTTTTGATTTCAAACAGACTTTAATTGCGGAAATCTGTTTTTAATGAGTCACATGCTGTTGTGTCACATCTTCGTTTCAGAGACTTTTATAGAGGGTGCAGGAATGAATAATGTGTACTTTGCAAGCAAAATATTTATTAAAACCACGACAGCTCATATGTAATGTATATCCCTCTGGGCACTTAGAGAGGATTAAATAATAAGTTATTTGATATATGAATATGAAAAAGTGACCTATATGCTTATTGGACAGTGACCGATAACAAAACTGTATAAGAATGGTAGCTTGGACAGAGACCGATTCAGATGGTCAGCTGGCATCTTGGCTTTATTATTTCTTCTAGTAAAGTCTTATTTTGGCTTCTGGAACTCTGCCTCTGAGCATTATTCCTGCAAGACCGAGAAGACTTTTCTCCACTACAGTTCATGAATTGGTTCTGTTTATCTTGTGTTTAGGTTATGCATTACTTTATCATATCTCCTCTATCTTCAGAATCGCCTCCTGGGATCAGCTTTGGATGTCGTAGCAGCTCGGGCAAACACAGACTCACAGTCCACCCTGCACATGAGCTCTGGAATCACCCAGACAGACTCTCTGCCAGCTCAGATCTCAGGCAGTCGCAGCATCAGTCTCTCTGCTACTGATAAAACCTCTGCTGGAAGCCCAGCATCAGGTGAGGCTGCTGCTGAGATTTGGTATGCATATATAGATTTGTATACTTGTATTGACTTTTCCCCTTACTGGTCATCTATCAATAATGTGACCCTAAAAAAGTATTTGAACATTTTTGGATACTTAAGTTACACTTAATGCATTGCATTAAGGTTCAAAATATGGCATCAGCTTATGGCGTCAGAATCGGCTTCAATTTAATGAGACACTTTTTTCAATTAGTTTTAACCAATTGGTTTTCAGGTTATTTTCATGGATGTCAATTCCCATTAATTTCACGCAGATGTCTTAGCAGAATAACCACAGGTGTAGTTCATTATATTAGCATATGAACATGTTCCAAAACATTTGACAACCAGAAAGTGTGCAAGAACATTTTTCTTGATTCAAAAGAAACATTTTGAACATTATTGTTTAATTTTGTGAAATAATTCAAAATGTGTGCTTGTGCTTTCTTAAAACAGATGTCACTTGTTTTGATATTTTATTATAAAATGCAAATACATTTATAATTTTTTTAATTATGACTTATTTGTGACCCTGGACCTCATTATCACAAACAACATTCCTGCTTTTCCATTTCACCTCGCTCTTTCCTCTTTTTCCAATTCGCTGGTAATTTAGCTGCGAGATGTGAGCTCAGAGATGGGGGTCACTGACATAAGCCCGGCCGTCTGAAACCTGGGAGAATTTTCCCACCTGAATCTAATCCGCCGGCTGCTGCAGCCCCCTCCGTGTCTCCCACATGAACGCCGGATTGCTTTCCCAGACGCCGGAGCTGTATTCTCAGGCTCGCGTTGATGGATGTGTGTGGGAGAACAGAGAGTTAATTATGGCTTGCAGTTTTTCAGTGTGTATTTTTCCTGGAGTGTGAAAATTCTCTGTTAAATCACCAGTTCTGTCTGTTTTCGACCTACATACATACACAGTGCACTCTTCCTGATTGATTATTCCATTGAGTTTGATGTAAAATTTGGGGAATTTTATGTAAATTCAGGGAATCAGCACGTGTAAACACTAAGGTACAGGGATGTGTGCATCGAGACAGTGGAAAAATTCTGCAGTAAGATGTCTGTTGCTACGAACTCCATTTTGTCACTTGTGCGCATCAATCTGGTCGTCATGGCAACCCGGCTATTTCAGTGGCAGCGTTTCTCCATCTCTCTGGCTGTCAGACCGTTCTCTCTCTCCATTGAAACAGGCTATTTTTAGCCATCCTTCCTTTTGTTTCTCACGTACATCATCAAAACAGAATTAAATACATGCGGAGAGGTGAAATCTGGAGCGTGAGGTGTTGTTGTGTCGTGCTTTTATGTTCACTTGTTTATGAGTAATCCACCAGGAAATTAGGAGCGGTGTGTTAGAACTGGTTTAATTATCTGAGCTTATATACGCTTTGGTCATAAGGTAAATTTAGCAGCTGTTACTGTGGTTGGGGATTTTTATTAAAATTTTTCAGCATCACATTTTTAGGTTTATATGAGTGAATTAGAGAAAGTGTGTAATTAAGGTGATTTATTATGACCGATATGATGCAGGGAATTTGAAGTGTCCGATAATCAATATGCCAACCCAGTTAGTAATTGTAGCTGTGTAAAAACACAATCATTCTGAATATTTTATTCAGAATATCAGTAAAAATATTGTGTCAAACACTGGTCAATTGCTAGCTGTATCACCTTTTTATTTGAAGTTTTAGTCATCTTTTAGCATCTGTGCTGTTCATTTTAATGGTCCTTTGGTCTGACAAATGAGTTTTTTAAAAGCTTAAATATTCCATGTGGTCACTCAAAATAATATTAGGTCATAAAACAGCATGTATTGTAGTTATACAAGATGTAGAAAAATAATTACAACAGTTTCCAATAGACACTGTAGTCACTGTTTGAAATGTCATTCTTTATTCATCATTTTTATTCATTTAGCCTTTAGGTCAGTCAAATGTGTCCAGACCATTAGTGAAAACAGTAAAATCAAATAGGTGAAACAGAAGTCAAATCATGTAGTAATGAGTGGAGAAGCATTTACATTAAGGGGTTCTGAATATTGCAGATGCCCTCAACAGCAATTCCTGTGGTCTTGCCTCATCAAAGATTTATGGGTAGACATTTTAGCTTGTACTAGACAAACACTAGCTATGTTGAGATATGCAGTATCTTTAAAATGATCTGATTTTATAAATGCTTTATGTATGTATGAACATTTGATTTATTTAAAACATAGTACTGTAAATTTGTGAAATATTGTTAACTAAATCTTGTGATGGCAAAGCTGAATTTTTAGCATCATTAATCCAGTCTTCTGTGTCACATGATCCTTCAGAAAACATTCTGATATGCTGATGCTCAAGATACAGTTCTTATTATTATTATTAATGTTAAAAACAGTTATGCTGCTTAATATTTTTGTAGAAATTGTGATACATATTTTTCAGAAATATTTGATGAAGAAAAAGTTCAAAAGAACAGCATTTATTTGAAATAGAAATATTTTCTAAAAATAAATAAAAGTGTTAATTTCTTTAAAATGTTATTGATTCCAAACCTTTTAACAGGTGTATATGTTATAAAGTGTATATTATAATAACGCTATATATAAAAATCCTTTGATTCTTTAGGCTAAGCAGAGAAGATACTTGAAGATACAGTGTGTGTCCGTGTGTGTGTGTGTATATATATATATATATATATATATATATACACACACTGCATGCTTTATTAACACCATGACCTACATTGTGATCCTAATGTGTTCACTGTACATTTTGAAAGCTAGAAAGCTTCTTGTCACTACTTCCACGTCAACCAGCAGATGCCAGGAGAGTCTGTCTGCTCCCCGCAGGGATGCCCTTTCCGATTTAAATGGCAGACTTTATTATTAGCCAGTGCCCTTACCTGCCGAGACCTCCATCACTGTTGATGTGCGCTGGGGGGTGGGTCACATGCCGTGCGTCACAACTTAATAGAGCAGCAAATACAAGCTATCCGCCCCTCTGCAGAGTGTTCAAATGTATTATGGTTCTTTGTGCTCCGTAATGCATTACAAAAAAAACCCCGCCATTTCCTTGTAGTGTCTGTGCAGAGTTTAACATGCACAGGGTTTTTAGGTGTTCACTAGCATGGTGCCATATTTAAGAGCCGAGCTCACGACGGGCAGCAGTCTGGCATTGTGCGTCAGGCAGCACTTACGAGAATCTGGCCTTTGGTGAGGTGCCAGCTCCATGTTAAATGCTGACTGTTGTTTACGGCTCTGTGTTTGGAGTAATTATAAAGGCAGCAGAATGGATCTCCGTGCAGCCTCGGGTCCCAACATTACAGCTGATGTTTTGCAGCTGTGGACGTGTGTGGGTTTGACGTCACGCGGCAGCTGGGAAAGGGGATCGGAATCTGTGCGGTAACGCTGGCAACCATCGTATATAGAACTGTCAAGAGCTGTTGTTTTCATCTGTCACAGTAAACACTCCCAGAATGCACTTATGACAAAAATATGGCCCAGAAAAATTATAACTGCTAGAGTGTGGTTAATGAAGTTATTGATTTATTTTCCATGTTATAATATATGTTTATTGAAATTTTTCTCTTTCGAGTGCAGTGACAGCATTTTTATTACAATTTAGTGGCCTTTATTCAGTCATTTCAGTATGTAAATAGATTTTTTTTTATGCTTTTATTCAGCAAATATGCATTAAATGTATCAAAAGTGACAGTAAAGACAATAATACATTTTTTAAACATTTTTGATTCAAATAAATGCTGTTCTTTTGAAACTTCTATTCATCAAAGAAAAGCACCAAATCAACATATTAGAATGATTTCTAAAAGATCATGTGACACTGAAGACTGGATTAATATATTATTTTAAAAAGTTTCACGTTTGTTATTCGTCTAGTACTGTGGGTCAAATTACCAGACATTTTACAGTACAGCTTTTTTTTGCAGTCATTAACAGCGATGATTGTTTTTGCATGTCTGCTTGCTCTCTCACAGGAAACACGGCGCAGAGGGTCTGCGATACAGGGGCTTTGTTTGCCATTGAGTCATGAGACTTTAGCTGTTCGTTTAACCGTATTCAAGAAGCTTGAAGGCCTCATGTTCCCTGTTAGCCAGACACTGGGGCCCACTGGAGGCACGTATGGCAGTGCTGCTGTTGTTCCAGTTGTAGGAGGAGGCCCTCCTTACGGTGCCTTTTTGACCTTAAGGAAATGATTACGGTCAGGAGCTCTACTGTTGATTTTGGAGGATTGAGAAATCCTTGTCCTGCGTATTTATATAGCTATGTTTCCTTTCGTCTGCATTCCGCAGTGCCGCAAGGAGAACTTTCCACTCTCCGGCCTCCTAATAGGGCTCAGGCGAGAGCGCCGGGATATTTTACATTTGCACGATATGAGGTTTCCCCCCTCCATGTACTCAGTTTGACTTCTTCCATTTACAGTCATGGGCTGACAAACTGTAAGAATAGCGAAAGAATAACTGCTCGCTTGTGTTCAGAAATGCCTGGCACGTATCACGTATTTATGGTCCGGGTTATTGGCACGGTGCGCTGGATTTCTGCAGAATTGATGACTAGCTGAAACACACGGGGCCTTGTTAGAGTCGTAGGCCCACAGCGGTGTGTGTTCTGGCATGATGAGCTGGACTGCTGACTGCGGCAGGTGTCTGGTGCCCGGGCTGATCCTTGCGATATCTTCTCTCTTTGCAGGAAATGGCAGACTTCAGGACCAGAGCCCTAATAACCGGAGGTCTCCCGAGAGATGCGGCTTGCAGTCTGTTGGGGTAAAGAGGTTCGCCATGGCAACAGCCGACAACGGCCAACCAGAGCGGTCCAGGTAATAATAGATCTTGTTTTCAGAGCAGGAAGGCACACAACCCTCTGCCTTCTGTGTTTCGCCATACACAGTGTGTAACCATAGTAGTAGACCTACATAACTACTTCTTTTTTCCAAGCCAAAGGAATGCTTTTGTTTTATTTATGATGCTCGGTTAGGCCATCTTGTCTTTTTCATTTAAATACGCCCTCCTAATGTTCCATAAGCAAGTGTCACTTAAAAAATGGACGAAGCGTACACGTGTTTTGCCCGAACATCGCTCTGTGCAAGAGGCTTACCGCAACTTGTCAAAATGACAGTATGAGAAGCAGTGTGTTGATGTTGGTGGTTAACACTGAATGTCTTTGTTCTTGGCCTGTGATGTAGCAAGGGAGGTTCTCAATAATACGAACATGTTTTTGGATCTCGTTCTGCAAATTCATATGAGCCTCCTTGAAGAAAATTTGTCATGAGAAGAAAGATCATTTGAATTGGAGTTTATAGAACTGTCATGGGGCACACAGAAGACAGTCTGCAGCTGACACTAACAAAAATTAACTAAAAGTATCATGGCTTTTTAGGATGTGTTTTTTGGACATGTGCAATAGTAAATACAATACTATTTATATAATTACAATAGTATATGAATTAGTGGTTCACCGATATGTTTGTAATGGCCTATATACATACCGTTTAAAAGTCTGGGGTCAGTAAGATTTTGTTTTGATGTATGTATGTATGTATGTA